GATCAAATACCACCACCGCAGGGGTAGGTTCTAAATGTTTTTACTACCGGTTCTGTGGGCGTGGCTTATTTTGTGGGTGTGGCTTAGAGGTCATGTGACTAGGTGGGCATGGCTGGCTGGTCAGAGTCATTTCTGGAAGGTCCTCACACTTACGGCCAGTCCTCGCACTTACGACCCGACTCATTTGTCTGCTTTTAACACTGATCAGCTGTAGGACGGCCCTTTGAAGCCCCGCGGCAAGAGTTTAAACAGTTTTTTTTTCCTCTAGTCATCAGCTGGCACTCAGGAGGCAGCAATAGATTGGGGGTGGGACCAAATAAAAGGTAAGAATAACGTGGGAGGGTGGGGGGGTGGGAGGGCAGGGGGGAACCGGTTCGGTGACATCATATCGTCACTGCTACCGGCTCGGCCGAACTGGACCGAACTGGGAGGAACCCACCACTGCACCACCGCTACAGCCTAGATTCTAAAATAGCTAAACAAATTCCAAAACTGTAGCTGGCTGGGTTGAATCTGGATTTTCTGCTAACTGCATTCAGGAAATCTTTTTTCACACGAAGTTATTGATTAATTTAAGAAGAAAATCTTTTTTTACGGCTTGGTGAGAGCTCACTTGGAAGTAGCCACATCAAGAAACTGGAACAAATACAGGCAGTCCTCAATTTACAACCACAACCGAGTCCAAAATTGATGTTGCTAAGTGAGAAATTTGTTAAGTGAGTTTTGCCTCATTTTACAACCTTTCCTGCCACAGTTGTTAAGTGAATCTAGCTTCCCCACTGACTTTGCTTGTCAGAAGGGGAAAACATGACCCTGGGACATAGCAACGGTCATAAATATGAGTCAGTTGTCAGGCATGTAAATTCACGTGGCCAAGGGGATGCTGCAATGGTCATAAGTGTGAAAAGTGGTCATAAGTCACTGTTTTCAGTGTCGTTGTAACGTCGAACAGTCACTAAGTGAACTGTTATAAGTGGAGGACTACCTGTATTCAGGTCCGTTTGTCAACCAAGTACTAACCAAAATGCTAGTATGTCCACAGATAATCCTCATCTTAGAATCATTCATTCAGTGATCATTCAAAATCACAATGGCACTGAAAAATGTGACTTATGACCATTTTTCGTACTTATGACTGTTGCAGCATCCCTGTGGTTGCATGATCAAATTTGGATGCTTGGCAACTGGCACATATTTATAATGGTTGCAGTGTCCTGAGGTCATGTGATCACCTTTTGAGACCTTCTGACAAGCAAAGCCAATGGGAAAGCCAGAAAGCAATAGTAATAGCACTTAAGACTTATATACCGCTTTACAGTACTTTTCAGCCCTCTCTAAGAGGTTTATAAAGTCAGCATATTGACTCCAACAATCTGGGTCCTCATTTTACCCACCTCGGAAGGACGGAAGGCTGAGTCAACCTTGAGCCTAGTGAGATTTGAACTGCCAAACTGCAGGCAGCCGGCAGTCAGCAGAAGTAGCCTGCAGTACTGCACTCTAACCTCTGTGCCACGGTGGCAGGTTCACTTAAACGAGTTACTAACTTAACAGCTGCAGTGATTCACTTAAGATCTGTGGCAAGAAAGGTTGGAAAATGGGGCAAAATTCATGTAACAACTGTCTTGTTTAGCAATAGAAATGTTGGGCTCAATTGTTTGTTGAGAACTACCTCCAATCAGTTCTATTAACAACCCCTGAAGTCCTTGACTCTGACTTTAGGCTTACAGTCTGTAAGATGTTCTGGTGTTCTCCATGTGTCTGTCCCTGCTATACCTGTTTATTGTAAATGATTATGTTGGGAGAAAAAGGAAAAATGCATGTAGTCCCACAGCACTGACAGAAGCATTTGGCCTGAAATTTTAACTGCAATGACAAATCCCAAATCAATATCTTTCCGGTGACTGCCTTATGGAACATTTTTCTCTTTGAGCTGTGTTCAGAACAGAAAACCAGCAAGGAAACTATTTAATGATGGCAAAACAGAAGGTCTGCAGAAGGTCTTTTGACAAGTTTCTGTCGCTCAGAAAATGGATCTGCTGTCTGCTTTTAAGTGAGCATACAAAGGGGATTTCAACTTTCTTAACCAACCGGGTTAAGAAGGTTGGCTGCTTTTGATCTTTCTCAAGAAGATAAAGCTTCGTGAACACATAGCTTTGAATGCACCACAATCCTCATATATTTAGGAAAAGAGGTTATAGTTACCAGCAGGGGTGGTATTCACTTACTTTCCCTACCGGTTCGCAAATGCCTTCCACGCATGTGCTTTGTTGGTGCACGCACCTTCCGTGCATGTGCCTGGTCTCAAAAAACCACCTAAATGGATGGCATAGAGCCGGGGGGGCGGGGGCACTCACAATTTCTGCTACCGGTTCTGGCAAACCGGTCTAAATTGGCTAAATACCACTTCTTGTTACCAGTGAAATTACAACTTATTTTTAGCACGCACGATGTTCCTCTGTTTCTCCTATGTAGTAATGCTCCAGTAAAGTTAGGCTGAAGATAGCAAATGGCCCAAGAACCCACAGTGAGACTGACTGTTGAGGGGTAGATTTAAATCTGGATTTTCTCCCTATTTGAGGAAGGACCAGTGTGCCTCCACTTTTATCTGAACCACAAAGTGGGGTTCTACATGGGACTCCCCTTGCAGAACACCCAGAGGCTCTAACTGGTCCAGAATGTGGCCACGCGGGTGATTATGGGAGCGTCATGGCGATCCCATGTAACACCTCTCCTGCACGAGCTGCACTGGCTCCCGGTGGTCCTCCGGGTGCGATTCAAGGTGTTGGTGACCACCTTTAGAGCGCTCCATGGCTTAGGACCTGGATATCTACGAGACCGCCTTCTGCCACTGAGAGCCTCCCACCGGCCAGTATGCTCCCACAGAGAGGGGCTCCTCGGGGTGCCGTCGGTCAAACAATGTCGATTGGCGGCCCCCAGGAGGAGAGCTTTCTCTGTGGGAGCACCTGCCCTCTGGAACGAGCTCCCCCCGGAGATATGGACGATTCCGGATTTACGTACCTTCCGCCGGGCCCTCAAGACTTTTTTATTTCAACAAGCCGGGCTGGCCTAACTTCTCCAATTGCTAATTTTAATTTTAATTTTAAACGGGATATTTTAATTGTTGGGCCAAATTATTTAATATATTTTAAACTGCTTTTAAATTTCTGTATTCTATGTTTTTTACCTTTGGCTGTTCACCACCCTGAGTCCTTCGGGAGAAGGGCAGTATATAAATTTAAATATAAATAAATAAAATAAATAAATAAAAAGTAGCATTAGTTCAAGATAAATATGTCTAGAAAATATTTTAATATCAGAGAAAGAGCATTAAGTAATCTCTGCAACTATAAGCCTTTTCCTCTTTGGGCCTGTCTTTGCCTTCTGTGTTGTCATTAAACTGATCTGTGCTTCCATGTCATTGTGTTGGGGTATTCAGTTCAAAAATATTCCTGGGATAATTATCCTGCAGGACAGGAAAATCATGGAAAGATTTTTAGAATAACTGAGGACCAAGCAACTGCTTCAACAGATATGTTCAATTTGTATGCTTTTCTTTTGAAGAAAAACTAACCTTTCCATTTGTAAATTGTTTCTTTGAGAATTTCCCCCCTTTTCCAAAGTGTTCATTGCAAAAAGCAACTTCCATAAGAGAGGATGACACACATCCAATGACATCATGACTCAAATCTTGCCCTTATACAGTTGTCCTTACAAGTACAGCAACGGCATCAAGACATCTTCACATAGTTTTCATCATCTATCCCCTTGATCCCTTGTCTGAAACAATTCTTTCAAAATAACATTTAGTGAACACACAAGCACACAGATACGGAGACACACAGCTCAGGGTTTTGATTTGAGGTCTGATCTTAAATGTAGCCATGCAGCTTTTTTTTCAAAAGAAAAGCTAACAGGTTTATGGGTTTGAAAGTTAGAAAGGGTAGCTTATGGAAAGAAGGAAATTATAATGCAACATTAGAGAGAGAAGCAACACAAAAATGTGTAACTGCTGTCAAGAAGATAAAGATTGTAATCTTTCTTTTTCTTATTTCTATTTTCACTATTTACTATTCTTCTTTATTCTCTTTTTTTTCCTCTTATGGTTTTTAACTTTGTTAAGCCTTTCTAGAAAGGAAGGAAGGAAGGAAGGAAGGAAGGAAGGAAGGAAGGAAGGAAGAAAGAAAAAGAAAGCTAAAGTTAGGATTAATGTGAGATAATAATTTGTTCTCTGATTGCACTGTTCATTATTAATTAAGTCATATACATTGTGTTTCCTCTGAAATATTGTTTCAGGACTGATCCCAAATCTGGATTCTTCAATTTGTACAATAATGAGCTTTTCAAAGCTCTAAATGTAAAGGAAACACAACCAGCATAGCCATCACATACAAATACCTAAGCTCAATTTATATGAGGTATACATTCTTTGGTTAAACCAGGAGTCTGCAACCTTAAATACTCAAAAAGCCATTTGGACCCATTTACCACAGAAAATAAAACACCAGAAGTCACAAAACCCTTCCCGTGCTTGGATTTATCCATGGTTAGCCTATTGGGGATCAATAAATCGCGTGCTGGCGAGTGTCACACATTGGCGATTGTGACGCATATTTTGAGTGACAGGAAGCCACAGCAGAGAGGTGAAAGAGCCACACGTGGCTCCAGAGCCACAGTTGCTGACTCCTGGGTTTAAACCAAAAACTTTACCTGAATCAGTAGCAAGATTCCTTCCCTATATGTCTCTGGGTATCTTTCTTGTCACCTTGCAAATTTCACCCATAGTCCACCAACTTTCCTAGTAATCTAGCTGTCTTTACCCTAATGTTCTCTCTCATAAATGGAAATGCTTCACATCTTGCCTGTAATCTATTTTGTCCTTGAGATTGCTCCAGTACGAAAACCAGGTCTGATCCTAGATCTCCTACAACCCACACTCTTATTTTCTATGACTAAAACAGTTTTGGTTGCTAAATGGGATCTATGCCAATAGCTATCGATACCTTGAAATCATAAGTAGCATCAGGGTTTTCATCACAGGCGATGACCTCAGGTGCCATCCAGTAGGGTGTTCCAATAAATGTATTTCTTCGACCAACTGTTCTGTCTAGTTGAGCGCTGACTCCAAAATCCACTAGGAATTGAAAATAGGAGAATTTGAATGAGGTAAAAAAAAAAAAAGTTGGTCTCGCTAAAAGGACATAAACTAAATTTCACATCGGATGACACCTCCCCCCCCCATGAACAAGGCAATTCATTTCAGAGTACTAAGAAATTTCAGCCCCTCACTCCACCCTATAATTTTTCTCCTGTATCAAATGGATGTGGGGGTCAAATCAAATAGGCTGTTTTGTAGACCAAGAATCTTTATGGAATTCAACAGGGGAAGAATATCACATATCAAAAGGTTTTGTGCAATTTCACATTACAATTCTTAATTGATAAAGTATTTGTAATTTGTCTTATTTGTAACCTTCATCTGTATAATCCATCTAGCTTCCCCTCTCTTTTGCTACTTTTCCTTACCTCACCTCAATTTAAATCCTACATCAGTCTAGTCACTCTGTGCATCATCTAATAAAGTAAACTACAGCTCATAAGAGCTTTTAACAAAATGTGTTAGTGGGGAAAGGTCTACCAGATTCCTGATCAAGCTGCCTTGCAACAAGTCTACAAAAAGAAGCATCTTGATCATTGTAGATCATAAAATTATTTTATGCCACAGGCCAGAAAAGACTTCCAACACCAATGCTAGAAACTTGAAATCGAGTTATCTAAAAATTTGTTCTTATTTTTAGAAGATGCATTTTAGTATTTCCTTCCTTGTTGGTTATGAATCTATATCAAGACTGTATCAAAGTACCTTTTTGCAATAATTCAACTATGAAAGTTGAGGCAAATAAAATGTCCTACTTCATAGTCTGAGATTTATTTATTTTTTTTATACTGCTCGAATTTTGGATTAGCACTGAATCAGATCATACACCATTTCTAGCAAAATTCAACAAAGTTTGTTTTGTTTTTTTAAGTACCAGAGGCCTATATTTTGAGCTCCTTGAAGAATGCATTGTAGCTCAGCTACAGTAGAATTGCACAAATAATATTGCTGATCTCTTCTAGTTATTTTTGAGACCAACTCTACTTTAAACATTCTGGCCGCATCCTTTCAAGGACCAACTAATGTTTAATGTATAAATCCTTGAAATAGCGTCTTTTACCTATTCAATACCCATCCAAAATTAACATATTTTAAATAGGCTGGGGTGTACTGTAAAAATGCTCAAGAAAATTTGAAGTGACATTGAGAGCAAAAGTGACAGTTGGAAAGGATTATGGCATGCTGATTTGCCTAGCCAGAATCTCTTCATTTTTTTTAAAAAAAAGAGCATAATCTTTCAAGAATTTTAAGGGTTTTATTCTAAGAACATAACAACTTCAAAGAATGAAGGCCATGTTATCTAGTATTCTTCACAGCCTTTTGGTTGCATATTGCTGTACATTCTAGGGTTCATCACGGCCATGAATCCTGAATTTCTTTTTCTCCCAAGTTTCTTGAGTAAAATAGGATTGATATAAAGTCAATGTTCAGGTCTACTTCTTAGAAACTTAAAAGAAATTCTCAGCTTTGGTAGTCCTTAGAACAGAGGTCCCCAACCTTTCCAGCTTGTTGCCCTTGCCCGGTGTGTGTGTGTGTGTGTGTGTGTGTGTGTGGCAGGTGCGCACATGCATGCACAAGCTACATGTGAGCGAGTGGTGGGCGCATTGACCCATGAATGGAGCCTTGCGCACGAGCAGAGGATGCTTGCACTCACATGTGAAACTCCACTCACATAAGTGGCAGGCACTTTCGCACTAATGAGTGAAGCTCCACTCGCGCAAGTGGAGGTGCTTCAATGGAGGGCATTTGTGTTCATGTTTTCCGCCACTTGTATGGGTGGAGCTTCACACACATACGTTTACCCATCTCTCTCAGGGATCGGTTTTGAACAGGCCGCGGCCCAGGGGATTGGGGACCCCTGCCTTAGAAGGCAGGACCAATGAATATTTCTAAATAAAGCCTCATTTCATTCTTCCTAGTATTTTGTTTAAATAAAAAGCCACCGTCCCCAAAACTTACCTAGTTTAACTTCTGCATTTTCAGTCAGCAAAACATTTTGGCCTTTAATATCTCGATGGATCACTTTGTGTTGATGGAGATGACTCAAGCCCTAGAGAAGTCAGTGAGAGACATAATAACTATAATAGAATAGAATAGAATAGAATTTTTATTGGCCAAGTGTGATTGGACACACAAGGAATTTGTCTTGGTGCATATGCTCTCAGTGTACATAAAAGAAAAGATACGTTCATCAAGAATCATAAGGTACAACACTTAACGATAGTCATAGGATACAAATAAGCAATCAGGAAACAATATCAATATCAATATATATGAATGTATTTATTTTGATTTTTATTTTGAGAAGACAAAATTAAAGGAAACCCAGCACTGGTTAAGTAATGATTTTTAAGATTATTGTACTGAATTGTGTATACTGTCTTTTATTTGCTACTTTTTAACATTTTACTATTGTTAAATGCAAGAAGAAGAATGAAATGGAAATTTACATGTATACACACATTTACATGTAACACCGGTGAGTAAAATTTGTAAGTCAAAGTTTAATATCCTTTTCCTTAAAATAATTTTTCAGCCATCCTCTATACCAGGGGTATCCAACTCAAGGCCTTAGATCTGGCCCGTGGAGCCGCCCTGGAAACAGCAAAAGAGTGGCCCATGGTGCCTCTGCCAGCGAAAACAGAGCTCCGTTTTCACTGGCAGAGGGTTGCAGGAGGCCATCACAGCCGAAAATGGACCTTGGGAGCCCGTTTTCACTGGCAGAGCACTCGGGCCACCACAGGCGCCCTTGGCACGAGTGACGTTGAGCTGGTCACACCCACCCTGGCCACGCCCATCCGGCCCCCAAGGTCAAACACAACCCTGATGCAGCTCTCAATGAAATCGAGTTTGATACCCCTGCTCTATACATTCTACCCAATATATAATGGGCAAATAACTGTATTCATTAGGTAGCAAAAGTCACCTAATTTTGGGCAGACTGTTGGAAGCTGCTATCTATCATCAGACCAGTGTTTCTCAACCTCCATTGGCTGGGAATTCTGGGACTTGAAGTCCACGCAACTTAAAGTTGCTCAGAGCCTTGGTAGTACAGGGGTTTAAGGCACCCTGTTATTAAGCTTATTAAGACCAGCTGCCTGCAATTACTGCAGGGTTCGAATCTCGCCAAGGCTCAAGGTTGACTCAGCCTTCCATCCTTTCTAAGGTAGGTGAAATGAGGACCCAGTTGTGGGGGCAATAAGCTGACTTTGTATAAATATACAAAAGGATGAAGGCTATTGCTGAGCACATTGTAAGCCGCCCTGAGTCTTCGGAGAAGGGTGGCATATAAATCAAATAAAAAAAAAAAAAAGATTGAGAAACACTGCAACAGACAGGAAAGCATATAGTTTGGGGGAATGGCTCAAACCTAAGCAAAACATTTGAAATGTTTGATAGTGGGTAGGCCGTTTAGCAAAAAATTGAGGCAACAGAAACTTTTTCACAGAAAATCGGCTAACCACTCAAGCTGTCAACTTTTCTCGTACCTCATCATAACATAACATCGATAAATACTGTAGATACTTGGTTTCAAATATTAAAGTCCTACTACAGGTAGTCCTCGACTTACAACAGCTCGATTAGTGACCATTTGAAGCTACAAAGGCGCTGAAAAAGTGGCTTATGAATGTTTTTCATACTTATGACTGTTGCAGCATTGCAATGGTCATGTGATCAAAATTCGGACCCCTGGCAACTGACTCATATTTATGTCAATTTCAGTGTCCTGGGGTCATGTGACTGCACCCTTCTGACAGGCAAAGTCAATGGGGAAGGGCAGATTTCCCATCGGGGCAATGGGGAAGATTCACTTAACAACCCTGGTACTAATTTAACAACCACTTAACAACTCTGGAAAGAAAGGTCGTAAAATGGGACAAAGTTCACTTAGCTGTCTCACTTAGCAACAGAAATGCTGGGCTCAATTGTGGTCGTAAGTCGAGGACTACCTGCATTCCTTTTCTCCAAACTGTATTTCTTTTAAAAATAATTATATATTTTAAAAAATATAATTTTAAAATATATGAAAGTAATCCTATAACCACATATGATTTCATTTAAATATTTTTTCAAATACCTCTGCTTTTTTTTTTTAATTTTGGCCTTACTGTATTCACTTTAAAGAGTACACTTTTACAGAAGGACTGTACAAGCTTCAACTCTGAAAAGCTTCTGTGCTTTTGTTTTATGAGAGTCTTTTTACCGCTTAGCAGGGGTGCTATTCAGCAGGTTCTGACAGGTTCTGGAGAACCGGTAGCGGAAATTTTGAGTAGTTCAGAGAACCGGCAAACACCACCTCTGACTGGCCCCAGAGTGGGGTGGGAATGGAGATTTTGCAATATCCTTCCCCCAGGAGTGGGGAGGGAATGGGGATTTTGCAGTATCCTTCCCCTGGAGTGGGGTGGGAATGGAGATTTTGCAGTATCCTTCCCCTGCCACGCCCAGCAAATCACGTCCATCAAGCCACGCCCACAGAACCGGTAGTAAAAAAAATTGAATTCCACCACTGTCCCTTAGAATTAAGGGTCATAAAAAAGACAATATAAGAATTCAATCTGAAAATGAAAATACAATCTAAAAACTTCCCAAAGCGTTGTTTGCTATTTAGAATTGTAACAAAGCACTTGTTTATTTAGAGTAAATAATTCAGCTGCAACACGTTAGCAAATTGCTATGAAAAGCAAGCAATAGTGTGATTCATCAACATTGGTACTTTTATTTCTGTCTCGAGAAGACATGGTTGCACAAGCTGGAACTTACATTTATAAACTGGAAAGTCAGTTTTTAAAATAGGTGAGTAATGAATCAGGTTCAAATTATTGAATTGTTCCCTTGTTGCCACAAAGTTAAAAATGTCAAAAAATCAGCCAAGGCTGTCAGCTTAGTGGTGGGCCTGCAGTCATCTGGCTGTCAACTCTCTCAGGTATACCTGACTAAATTGTTCTCCACTTTTATTTGTCATCCAATTGCTTAAAATATAACTTGCTTTTTCTTTAAAAAAGTGTTATACACTCACAACGTATGCATGTCTTTATTGATTGAAAGAGAAACCAGGTATATTCAAAGTACAAATCAACGATGAGAAAAGATTTCTTTGTTGTTGTTCAGTTGCTAAGTCATGTCTGACTCTTCGTGATATGATGGACCATACCAGAGGTGGGTTTCAGCAGGTTTTGACCAGTTCTGGAGAACCGATAGTGGAAATTTTGAGTAGTTCAGAGAACCAGTAAATACTACCTCTGACTGGCCCCACCCCCATCTATTCTCTGCCTCCCGAGTCCAAGCTGATTGGGAGGAAATGGGGATTTTGCAGTAACCTTCCCCTTGATTGGGGAGGGAATGGAGATTTTACAGTATCCTTCCCCTGCCACGCCCACAGAACTGGTAGTAAAAATTTTTGAATCCCACCACTGGACCATAGCTAGGCCTACCTGTCCTCCACTGTCTGAAAAGGATTTCTACCTATCAATTATTTAACAATGACTTTTATATTTCCCCCTTCTCAAGTTATCATGCTGCAATAAAAAGACCTTAGAGCAGGGGTGTCAATCTCAAAGCTTGGGGGTCAGATACGACCCACGGGGTGCTTAGATCTGCCTGTAGGGCTGCCCTGAAAACAGCGAAGGACTGGCCTGCAGTGCCTCTGCCAGCAAAAATGGAGCAATCGCAGCTGAAAATGGAGCTCGTTAGGGCCGCGGGCAGCACTCCATTTTCATTGGCAGAGGGTTGCAGGAGGCCGTCGCACCTGAAACGGAGCTCGGAAGCCCGTTTTATCTGGCAGAGCGCTCGGGCCACCCTGACATGAGTGATGTTGAACTGGTCACGCCCACCCTGCTCACGCCCATCCCGGGCCCCCAAGGTCAAACACAACTCTGATGTAGCCCTCAATGAAATCGAGTTTGACATCCCTGCCTTAGAGTAACCTGTAAAGAATCAATATCTTGAAGGATTCTTTAAGAATTAAAGGATTCTTAAGCTGTCAAGTTCCTGCATTCTGTATCTTCACTTCCAGATAACTAAAAGTCATTTGCAGGAGGCACTAACTAGTGTATCTCAGAATGGCGATATCAGATTGAATTCAGCAAATCCTAAAAGGGTGAAGTCCACCCGCTTCTGAAATAAAACTGTGCTTCATTTGGATCTATGGCCATTGACAGGATTCCAGCAGAAAACCTAGCTGTAGTGTGAACATTTTATGGCTTTCCATAAAAGAAATAAAAAATTTTTTAAAAAAGTGTCAGACAGATTGTAACATATAGCAAGTCTTCCGTTTCTTGTGGAACCTGCATATCATAGCTGACTTTGCTATATAAATAAAAAGTGAAATGATTTCCACATAGAACATAATAACATCCAGAAATTATCCTGATTCCCGCTCTGTATAAGAATTTGTAGGAATTCTAAATGGTAGTTAAAAAAAAAAATCATTTCCCAATTTTCTTGTTCCATTTGAGTCCCTCTGTGTGAAAATATCTTTCTTCATCTCTACTTTGAATGATTTTTCCCATTTCTATAAATCTGGATCTGGAACTCTAATTTTAATACATCTGCTCCTATTAATATTAAAGAAGGCGTTTTCTTTCTAAAAAGAAATAGCAGCTTTCAAAGACGAACAAGGAAGGGAGCCAAATAACTTTCATTCATTCATTATAAATTGGATTTAAGTGACTATGAATCATTCATACAATCCTCTAATGACTAGCCACCAAGCATTTGGAGCCATCTTCTATCTTGTGACTCTTTTCTCAGCAACTAAATTCAGAACAGAGATTAGGTACAGGCATAACATTAGCTCTTAGCAAATTAACTTATAAGCTCAGGATATAGCTTTAGAAATGGATTTTTCCTTTTTCTCACCACCGTCTTCCATTCTAACCTTCACATTCCACTGCAAAGTTTAAATTACTATAGGTAGTTCTCAACTTACAACCACAATTCAGCCTGGAAATTTTGCGATAAAATGCGGTCTGTTATATATATCATCTGTTGATATATTTTGGCTTCTGATGTGTAAACCTTTTGGAAGGAACTAGCATTATTTCTGTACAGGTTTGATGCAATGACATGGTTGTTAACAGAGATAGTTAGCTCACTTTGGACACATACCCGTAAAATCTCCCTGCAGATATAGGCAATCCACTCCTCCTTCAAAGTGTTCCCTTTTGTGTTCTTGATCAGATCAGTAACAGATCCAGCACCACAGAACTCCATCACCAGCTGGCAAAAGAAACAAAAATGCAATTATTATAATTATAAATAAAGTGTCCTCTGGGTTGCATTAACCTAGTAGAATGCATTTAATTGACAATGGTCTATGCTGCTAAAAGGAAAAAAAGTTTTTTAATAATAATAATAAATTATACACACACACACACACATATGGGTTTTCTATTGAAGCAACCTGGTCTACCCAAATATGGGAAGGAGCATACCGCTTCCTTTTCGCCTTTCAGTCCCAATGCAGGAGGAGCCCTCAGGCAGTCGCTTTCACGACAAACTATTTTGTGTTACATTTATATTTACTGACAAAGAAATAAAGGGAGACTAGTATAGATCTGGGGTTGCCACAAAGAAGAGGGAGGTCAACCTATTCTCCAAAGCACCTGGAGGCAGAACTAGAAGCAATGCGTACAAACTAAACCTAGAACTAAGGAGAAATTTCCTGACAGTTAGAACAATTAATCAGTGGAACAACTTGCCCCCCAAAATTGGAGGTTTTAAAGAAGAGATTGGTTAACTTTTTATCTGAAAAAGTATAGGATTTCCTGCTCAAGCAGGGAAGACCTCCAAAGTTCCTTCCAACTCTGTTATTCTCTCCAACAATTTTACAGCACTTCACAATGCCTGTTTTCATTAGGTTTTTTTTTTTGTTTTTTTTTTGCAATAACCATCGAGAGGCAGAGAAGAAATACTCTCAGTTAACAGATCAGGAGATGAAGCTGAAAAATAACAGTGTTTCAGGACTCCCAAGGAGCTAATGGCACAAGATGAGTTGGAAAGCTGATCTTTGAAGCTTCAGAACTTCCATGAAAGCTTCAGAAACCAGTTGGAGTCAAAGCTACTCCCACACTGCTGCATATATTTGTGGGAATGAAGGGTAGTTGATTATCCTTTTAAAATAACAAAAAAGAAAGGAAGACGGGAAATCATAAACAAATAAGGAAACGGCTTGAAAGCCTCTGACTAAAGCCATGATTCAGATTTCATAGTGCGAGAAACTTAAATTAATCTTCATGCAAAGTAATTATTTTTCCATTATACCTCTGATGCTAGGTCACATTTGGATGAACACATCCTGGCTTGATAAATCAGTATATACAGAAACCTCACAAACCTGAACAAAGGCACTTTGGTCTTCCTTTTTCATGAAGAGCAGCCAAGCTGAGAAGCCACAATTAAGTATGTCGTCTTCTATTGCAGAACTATGAACTACAGTTAATTTCCAAACAAGTCAACTTTGCTTGTTGTAAACCCATTAACCATAGAATTTTGTCCAAATAGAGGACAAAATTATCATTAAACGGTAGCTTCCCAGTTTGGTTGACTTCACGTACTCAGAAACTATAGGAAAAGTAAGTATGTTAAACTAAAATATATTAGTCCTCTACACCAAGATGTTTGAAAAGATATCTCTCTTTTTGATATATTCATTGACAGTTTAAGAATCTCCTGCTTCAAAAGACTTTTGACATTATTTTTCATATTTATATATTGCTATAAATATTATCAGTGGTGAAATCCAAATATTTTTACTACTGGTTCTGTGGGCATGGCGTGGCGGGCGTGGTATTGCTTAATGGGTGTGGCAGGGGAAGGATACTGCAAAATCCCCATTCCCTCCCCAATCCTGGGGGAAGGATATTGCAAAATCTCCATTCCCACCCCACTCCAGGGGAAGGATACTGCAAAATCTCCATTCCCACCCCACTCTGGGGCCAGCCAGAGGTGGTATTTGCTTGTTCTTCAAACTACTCAAAATTTTTGCTACTGGTTCTCCGAACTGCTCAAAATTTCTGCTACCGGTTCTCCAGAACCTGTCAGAACCTGCTGGATTTCACCCCTGAATATTATATTCCACTGGCTCCCCACCTTTTGGGCACCAGGAACTAGTTCCATGGAAAAAGTTTTTTCTGAGAACCGGAGGAGGGAGTGTGGTTTTGCATGTTGCCTGCATTTTGCTTCACTTATGGGGCCAGCAACCAGGGGAGCCCTGTTCTATTCTATATCTTTATATAAATATCCCATATTCATCTATGCATTCTTAAATTACACCTGCCTTAATGTATTATTGCAGGGGCAATTTCATTGAGGGCTGCATCTGGGTTGTGTTTGACCTTGGGGGGGGGGGGCTGGGTCAGGGTGGGCTTGGCCAGCTCGACATCACTCGTGTTGGAGCTGCCTGTGATGGCTCAAGTGCTTTGCCAGCGAAAACGGGCTCCCGAGGTCCGTTTTTAGCTGTGACGGCCTCCTGCAACCCTCTGCCACTGAAAACGGAACTCGGGAGGGCCACATGCAGTGTGGCAGAGGCACTGCAGGCTGGTCTTTGCTGTTTTCAGGGTGGCCCCGCAGGCCAGATTTAAGCACCCCTGTTTTATTGCATCTTCCTTGAGAAATACTTGCGGAACAGGTAGTCCTCAACTTACAACCGTTTGTTTAGCGATGTTTGAAGTTACAATGGCACTCAAAAAAGTGACTTACAACTGGTCCTTGCACTTATGACTGTTGCAGCATCCCTACAGTCATGTGATCAAAATTTGGGTACTTGGCAACTGGCATATATTTTCTACAAATGCAGTATCTCAGGATCATGGGATCACCATCTGCAACCTTCCCAGTGTTGTGGCCTGTACGCGGCCTGTGCGGCTGGTGGCTGATTCAGACAGCGAGGAGGCTGGTATAGTGCTGCGCTAGCAGCCTGTGCAGCTGGCACTCGAGTCAGACAATGAGGAGGCTGGAGAAGATGTGGTGCCAGAGGCGGGGATTCAGCCAGGGCCTTCAGAACCTCCAGAAGCTTCCTTAAGTGAAGAGGGCGAAGAGGAGTAGCCTCTTCTCGATGCATGGGCATGCAGAGCTGCCAAAAGGCAGGAGTGGCTCCTCAGGAGGAGGTCTCCACAAGAGTAAGGCTTGGGGATAATTGGCTACTCCCTTAGCCTATTTAAGGAGGAACACCAACTGAAGCAATTTGCAGGGAACAACTTCGTTCACTCTCCTTCGTGCCTTGATCTTAGTTTTCTGCAAATTGCTTCTGGGCTTTCTGCCAACCATAGTAAGATTAAGATTATTAATTCTTTGGATTCTTGCAGGCTGTTAAGAAAGTTAATTAACAGCCTTTTTTTTGAAAAAATGATTTTATTTTAGTAAACTAAGGTTTGTACAGAGTTTGTGTGTGCTGCGTTCTTTGGGGTCCGTAGCTGGGGCCGAACACCCAGGCAGCTTCCGACAAACAAAAGTCAATGGGGGAAACTGGATTCTCTTAACAACCACGTGAGTCACTTAAAAACGACATTGGTTCACTTAACATCTGTGGCAAAAAAAGGTGGTAAAATCAAGCATCACTCAGATAACAACTGCCTTGCTTATCAATGAAAATCCTGGTCCCGATCATGACTGTATGTTGAGGAGTTTTTTTAAATCATGTAAATACACAGGAAAATATAGGTCACATTAGTGCTTGCACCAATTCTTGCACAAATGATAATAACCGCCTGCCATGTATTCTTTGTTTTTTAAACTATAAAAACCTGGATGGACCCTGATTCAATAGACACAAAATAGTGGAAAGTTGGATAATGGAGATTTTTTTTTAATCTTCCTTTTGTGGTTGGATGAGACTTTTGTTTTAAAAAAGAAAAGCTTACAAATAAAGAAAAAGTGAGGTTGAAAACTAGCATAGAATTGAATCTTCATAATAAAACAATTTTCTTCCATCTACTTTCTACGATCTCTTCATCTGCGTTACATTCTTTAAATTCCAATTTTACTGTATTTCATATCCTCTTCTGTATCTTTAATGTATTTGTTTATTGGCTGACCTCTATATTCCTCGTCTTAATTCTTATGCCAGGGGTCCTCAAACTACGGCCCGCGGGCTGCATACAGCCCACCCAAGCTATTCATCAGCCCGCTCGGGACAACGAACCTGCCCCGCTCACATCACCCTACCTACCTGCCAGCCCCCACCCGCCTTCTGGATGCCGAGGAAGCCAAAAACAGGCCCATTTGGGGCAGAAGAGTGGTTCTGGAGGCCAAGGAGCTCCCCAGCCTCCAGAGAGAGTGGGGGAGGGAGGAACACACACACACACACATGAACAGAAGTCCCTCACACACACTCCAAGGCAGCCACATCCCTTCACTAACCTGCTTTCCACCCCCAGGAGCATAGCAAATTAAAGTTTGTGTGTATTGTTAAATGGACTGCTAAATTGGCCACGCCCATCCAGTCACATGACTACATAGCCATGCCCACTCAGCCGGTCAGGGCCCCCAATTTCTGAGGGATTGTGAATTGGCCCTGTTTAAAAAGTTTGAGGACCCTTGCCCTATGCTGTCATTCTCCCTAGAACTATGCTCATTTTTCTAGAGTTCAGACTGATTTTTATCTCTTTCATTCTGTTTTCGATTTCTGTCCTTTGGTTTTCAGTTTCTGTTCTGTCAAAGTTTTGAATTTTTTTCTTAGCCTTTTCATTTTGCTTGTTCCTAGCTGGGGTTCTTGACCTTCTTGTCTTCTTCTCAATCTTGGCTCCATATGAGGAACATGGCTCAAAGAAAAAATCAGGGGGGAAAATGTATGTCTCTCTCTCCCCAGTTTTCTCAGCTGCTGTCTTTTTTTCAGTAGCTTCTTTCTCCTTATTTAGTTTGCCTCTTTATTTAGTTCCTGAGCTGTGGTTCTATTTATTTAGCCTCTTCCTCGTGAGTTTCCAGGCAGTGATATTGTCTTCCCTTCTCGTTCCTTGCTAAAGGTTGCCCTTGGCTTAAGACCACAATCGAGCCCAAAATTTCTGTTGCTAAGAGCAACAGTTGTTAAGTGAGTTTTGCTCTATTTTACGACCTTTCTTACAACAGTTGTTAAGTGAATCACTGCAGTTCTTAAATTAGTAAAATGGTTGGTAGGTGAATCGGGCTTCCCCATTTGCTTTGCTTATCAGAAAGTTGCAAAAAGTGATCACATATGACCATGGAGATGCTTGAATGGTGGCAAGTGTAAAAAACAGTCATAG